ACCCCTTCCATCTGCTGAGAGAGAACAGCTACGACTAGAATTACAGCAACTGAACCATCAGATCAACCAACAGACCCAGCTACGTGGACTAGAGGTACTGGCCTGTAGATACTATTTCATTCACATGTTTGAAAGAGAATATAAAGGGGGTAATTTTGAGGCATTAAGAAGACAAAATTTTGGTGGCCTAATGGCAAGAAGCTGCACTGCAACCCCAGAGGTGCGCAGTTTGAATCCACCAGATGCTCTGCTGGAGAAGGAGGGGCAATCTCCTCCTGTACCAGTCAGATTCGATTTGACGGTACACACACAAAAAATAATAAAATAAAAAAATTGAAAGAAAAAAGACGACAAAATTTTAAGGTCTTGTTACAGGTGTCCAGTCTTCAAAGAATTCAGGTATCAAGTTCCGTCTAGAAATATTAGGAAACTTAAAATTTCTGTTACTTCATGATGGGATACGGATTGTCTAGTATAAAGTATATTGTTTTTATCAACAAATACTTTTAGCTCAAGTATTTTCATTTCTCTTATTTACTTTAATTCTCATCATTTATAAATATGTAAATTAGAATCTTAGACTTTAAAAAAGCACAGTCCTTTTATAATATTTAATTTGTATAGTCCTTTTGCATAGTAAAGAAACTATGGTAACATAGTGGTGACGTTTTAGACTGCTAACTGTAAGGTTGGTGGTTCAGCATTAGCCTTTATCTTCCTATATTTTTCTGTTATTATTATTAAACCTTTAATAATAAAGAAGACATTCCTTTAAGGGAATTCCTTTAAGGGAGACAATTATAATTAATTTTATCTTCTTGTTACGCTGTCGACTACAACTCATAGTAACCATGTACACGTTAGCTCTGAACCCTGCTCTATCCTGAGCCAGTCTCACTGTCTCTGACACACCTACCCTCATTACTCCAGTTACTGTGTCAATCCATCTCATCTGGAGTTTTCCTCTCCTACACTGTTTATCAACCCTTAGAAGCATGATATCCTTCCCCAAAGACATGTCCCTCCTGGCAGCATGATCATAGAATGTTGAGAAGGAGCTTCAGAATCCTTGCCTCTGAGGAGCAGCTTGGTTTTAGCTTCTCCAAAACAGACCTGTTAGTTCTCGTGGCAGTCTGTAGGATGTTCAGTGTGGAACACATATGACTTACATTCTTACACATACATGTATAAGCAATAAAGTTTAGAAATAGGAAATCTACATTTTTTTGTCTACATTAGCCATTGCTTCATTTATGTCGGTTCAAAACTGATTGCTTTTGTAAAAAAGAATGCAGTATTTTGTCTGTCTTTAGTTCATTAACTTTTTAGACTTGTTACCTATAAAACATTATCCCTTACTCTGCTATTTCATAGCTTTTTGTCTTATTGAAGTTTATATATCCATTTTCTATCCCAAAAGAATTTAAATATGATTTGGAGACTTGCCTTTTATTTAACACTACTGCTAAAAGTCCTTGCCATTTTTGTTGTTTTATTTAAAAATGATTAAAGGATTTACTTCACATAAAATTTTAGAGAGGGAAAGATTCATATTTATAGTTCTTTTTCAAGTAAAATAAAAAGAGTAACTTATACCTAAGATTACTGTTCATCAAGTTTAAATTTTTATTTTTCCTTTTTTATTCAAATAGTACTCAAAGAAAGAAAGACAATATTGTAAATAATTGCTTCGTTTTATTAGAAATACCTGAGTTACTTAAGGCTGTGGTCTGGAATTGGGCCTGGCCATTCAGTGCATGTTGTAAAGTGTGTTGAGGTGTGTATGTGCTTGGCTTTATGCATTTAGGCTGTTAGTAACAGGCTGGTGTTGCAGAGGGAGGCGAACACACTGGCAGGCCAGCCACAACCTCCACCACCAACTCCAAAATGGCCTGGAATGATCTCAAGTGAGCAGTTGAGCTTGGAATTGCACCAAGTGGAAAGGGAAATTGGGAAGAGAACTCGAGAACTCAGTATGGTGAGTATTAATGATGGCAAAGAGAATGAAGATGAAAGAAAGCTTCAGTGATGTCTATCATTAGCATTATTACTGTAGTGCACCCTGATAAGTGACTAATATTCTGGATAAGTCTCATAGCCTGCCTCCCTATTTAGTGTTCCTGTTTTATCTGGGAATTTTCTTTGTTTTAGGATTTTGTGTTTCATAAGCTTTAGGAAAAACAGCGTGATTAACTGGAAGTTCTTAAATTGGTAAACATACCGATTAATCATTATGAAAATGAGGGCACAGTATTTGATTTTTGCTAAAAGATACCAGTCAGCGTTTCTGTGAGAATTTTTCTTGTTATCTTGAGATAGTCTAACTTTACTTTTTTTTATTCCCCTCACTCTCAAAGGAGAACCAGTGTTCTCTAGACATGAAAAGCAAACTGAGTACCAGTAAACAAGCAGAAAATGGACAGCCAGAATCACAAAACAAGGTTCCAGCTGAGGACCTTACATTGACATTCAGGTAACCAAAGGCTTATTTTCTTAGTGTCCTCACATGAAAGAGAAATGCCCATATAGTCTAGTTATGTCAGAAATATCCTCATAAATAGATACGATTTTTCAGAATAGATGGAGGGTTGAATTACCTGTTAACACCTAAAGACATTTTCTAGTTCAATTTCTTTCTTGTTTTACTTATTTTATATAGGTCTTATTTTAAATTATAAAAGTAATAACATACTCAATGTGAAAAATTCATAAATAATACTAAATGTGGGGAAAAAGACAGAAAGCTCTCTCCTTTAAATACATTTCAAAAAAATAAATAATAGGAAATGGAACATTTTAGAAAACAATAAAAACTGCTTATAACGGCAGTACTTTAGAAACTAGTATTAACTAATGTTTTGATGTTTGTAGACTTAATATATGGGCATTTATCTCCTCATTTTTAAAAATCTGTATCTATCCCCATTATATATATATATCATTACAGTGTGAAAACAGGACTAAACCATAGGTAAACAATTGAGTGCACTGTGTAGTAAAATTTTATTCATTAAAACAATAATTACAAATATGCATATGGATCTATAAGCTGATGTTAATAATCCATCACTTTTCTTTTACTTGTGCTAAAAATTTGTGTCTACTAAATAGTAATTATTCTCTTTCTTTCTTTTAAAATGTCAATTAATTTTTGTTTTAAAAATGTTTTGACAGTGATGTACCGAACGGATCAGCCCTGACACAAGAGAATATCAGCCTCCTATCAAACAAGACCAGCTCCCTGAACCTAGCAGAGGACCCCGACGGAGGAGGGGATAACAATGACTCCCAAAGATCAGGAGTTACACCTAGTTCTGCTTCCTAAAATGTGAAGAGTCCTACTTTTATCTTCTCTAATCAATTTGTGGGACCTAGGGGTAGGAGAATGAATAACTTCAAAATATATTCTCTAAAAGTGGTCAGAGAAATCCAGGAAAAGCACCGGAGGCAATGTGCACAGACACCACTACTAAAAACAAACCCTGCACATAGTTCACATTGACGCATTTTTTTAATTTAAGAAAAAAGAAAATTAGCAGTATCTGCAAGCAATTCAGATGAAATTTTTTTTGTTCTGTGAATGAACTTTATTTTAATAACTTTGGACGCCTTGGATCCAGGGCTTTAAAAAAAAAAGAAGAAGAAGATATTATATATACACTCTGTTTGATTAATTGTATGATCTTAATGAAGTAGGTTTTTCTTGTATTTTGGTATTATTACATACCCAGTGTATAATTCCTATCCTCAGTCCTTTCCAACTCTCACGACCCTATAAACTCAAGCAGACAAAGCACTGGTCTTTTTAAGAATTATGTAGTGCTTGAGAAACAAACAAATGGTCATAGACAGAATTATTAGAAAATGTGCAGCAAACTAACTTTTCCTGGAGTTGTTACTTGGAAATTATATCTTTTCTTCCTCCATCATCAGCTTCGTGTATAGATGGATTTTTCTTTTTCATTAAAACTTACTGATTTTTTAGGCCCCTTTTTATTAACTTGACTTTTTTGGAAATCATAAGAGTACTGAAAAACTGACATCAGTAATTTTAAAACTGCAACAATTGATGTGAACATATATGGGCAGAGCCACATTCATTTGACTTTATAATATTGAATAGGTTTGTGAAAAATTTGAAAGAAGAATTTTTTTTTAATTTAGTTCTGCTGCACATATTCTGATACTGCATGTCTATACTGAACAGAGACCTTATAAAACATAGTCATCCTTCCCCATCCTTGTTTGCCTGATTTTTACTTTTTTTATGTCCCTTTCTGGATTATATTACTAAATAAGAAAGCACTGGTTATGTAATAAGTTACTATATTGCTTTGGTTGGGTAAAAGCAAGAATTTGTATTTTTCTTATTTCTTTTTTTCTTTAATTCCTGCTGAGGTCATAACAACCTCAGTCTAAGCTCTATATCCATCATATTGTTAACTGAAATAAATGGGGGGAGGGGGCAGCACAGTCCTGTCATTGCCTACCAGTAGGAGAGTCCAAACAGAACACTCTTTTGAGTAGCGATTATTTAATTTGCCCAGTCAAGGCACCGTGTTATATACTATTTCACATTGAATTTGATTATGCCCTACAGACCTGGCTGGTCAAGGATTTGATATACACATATTGGCTTGGGATTCGAGCTTTCTTTTTTATTTAAAAATTTATATATATTATATATATACACATATACATAGCTATATCTGTATATATATTGGGTATGTTTTAAGGATTTTTTCGCATGAGCGCAGCTGTTGCGATAAAATGTCCGATTGGGAGGTAGATGCAATGAATGAAGATGAGGCTTTTTTTTCCCAGTTGATATCCTCTTTTTTTATTTGTTAAAACCTGATTTTTTTTTTGCTTTTTCTCAAAGCCCTCTTACATTTACTCTTGAATTGCTTATTATTTATTGGGAGGAGAGAAACTTTTATATGTCTGACAGAGTCCTAAAATTTTCTTAACTTCTCTGCATAACTGTAAAAGGCAACATTGTTGGCCTTCAACCTTCTGTAGACAGGTTTGGGCAGATCTTAAATCTCTGTAGACTTGCCAAGATACTAAATTTTAGAAACAGCTCACTTTAGAATTTCTGAATATTCTAACATTAGAAGTGAATTTGTAGACATTGTGTTGAAGTTCAAAATTAATGTAAAGTTCTAATCAGAGTATCTGAATACCCTACTAGTTCAGCTCTCTTAATTTTTGTCTTTATTCTCCTCAAATATACTTTTTCTTTGTTCACTTCCCGCTTCCATGCCAGGGCTGACTTAGATAGAAGTAGAGATTAATTTACATAGTATTACTTTTGTGAACAAATCCAGAAAAGCCACTATTTGGATATATAAAATATAGTCTTTCCCTTTTTAAGCATTTCCATTTGAGGAAGAATATTTTAAAATGTAGCCTGAATTCTAGTTCTACCCTGGAAGGCCTCACGCTTTGGAAGCAGACTGGTTAGGTAATAGGTGAATAATTATATATCATTCCATTGTATCAATAACTTAAATAGATCATTCTGTTCTACCTAGTAGACATTCTTAGCTTTCTCAGTAGTGCTCACCAGTAGGTTCAGAAAAAGCCCCTGAATGTTGGTGTGGGAGTTTCCATTCTTTTCCCTTTCTCTGTGATATAAGAGTAAATGGCTAAAGTGAGCATAACTGCTTTTTGTAAAATCCACAAGAAGAATTGTATTTCTGGCATTCTTATTTTCTTGATCCTATAGATAGAGTTAAGAGAGAATCAGATAGGAAGTATACTTTTTATGCCTTTCTACTTATTAAAATATTAATTACTTATTAAAATATTTTCATCTGAAGATGATTATTTACTTTTCACCCAAAGAGAAGGCTTTCATAAACAGTTCAGCTGAAGATGAGCCTGTCTTGTGAGGGTTAATATAAGAGTAATAAAGCATTGTGTTCAGTCTATAGGTAACAAATGTAGGATTTTACTATAGCAAGGAATATAAAAGATTAAGAAAAACATCTAGATTCAAGTTCCTGCTTTATACAGTGCCCTTTTGCCTTACTTATAGCTATTGTCACAAGATTAGTAATAGCTGTCCTGTCTTTGGTTACTTACCAAAGATCCATTCTTTGTTACTTTTCTAGTTAAAAGGAATACTAATTGTATGTTTCTGGTAATATTAGTCAAATGGTAAGATACTATCTGTAATACCAGTTACAAATCTTCAACTACTCAGAATTAATGTGGGTGATTCCCTTCTCCCATCTTATTTCCCATTTATTCTTTTGCCCAAGAGACAGAAAATTGCTGATTCTCATTTGCTGTTTTGAATATTATAAAGGCCATCAGACTTTTCATAGGTCTTAAGGGTTGGAGCTCAGTTTAACTCCTAAATATTTCTATAAATGTCTAGTAGTTTGGGATTTTTTTTTCCTGGCCCTTCCATCCTACAAATTCCCCTTGACTTAACCACTACCCTCCTCAATCTGCAACAGTGACAGTTTGCTGCCTCAAAACAGAGCATTCAAATGAATTCGCTTAGCCAATAACTTCTGTGAAGTTGCCTTTTCTAATGGTGTTATTACTCAGTGATGCACAAATGTGGTATTTGCCCTACTGGTAGGCAAACAAAGGTCTGGGTAAGAATGGTAACCTGCTGTTTTCTTTAAAGGAGAGCCAAAGACTTGTGCTTTACTCTGTTTTGGTTTGGGGGAAGTAGTAGCCATTGAAACTTTCAGTACTTGTGAGTTGGCTGTGCTGTGCAAGTATATTTATTTAAAGTTAGCTAGCCTTATTAAAGGTAAAAGAAATGAAAATTTATCTGTTTCTCTAAGCCAGTGAATCTCATCATTTACAGTATTATCTGTAAGCAGTCCTCACTTCCCCTTTCTCTGTTTTTTGAGATTATCCTGTTATAATAGCATGTTCTATGTTTTTATCTTTTTAAGTTTATGTTTAAATGACAATCTTCTGTCACTGTATGGTCAAGTCATGAGACTGAGGAAAAGAATCCACGAGTACGTGACTAAAGTGAGAGATAACTGGTGAGCTCATATTCAGATTTCATGGAAAGTCAGTTATTTTCACTAACAAGTATTCAGGTTCTATTCAGTAGTGATGGGCGGACTTCTGTCTCTTTTCTACTTTTCTTTTTTGCTTGTTTTAAAGAACTGTGTAAAGGTGTCATTATAAAGTCTATCCTTAGAAAACACCTTTAATCATCAATATTTTAGTAAAAGCAGTGGCCCAATTACTATTAAAAATAATTAGTAGCAGGAAGATTATGAAACAAGAAATTATTAGCCTTTCTGAAAATCAATTCATGTTTACTTAGTAAGTTTTTATCTCATAGGAGTCTAGTTGTATTTACTTTTCAGTTGATGATACATCATACAGTATTGCAAGGTGGCCTCTGAAAAATCTGCATGTCCTTCTAAATAAGAATTAGCAGAACTGTTGAATTAAAGCATAGTTTACTTTCAGCAGTAGGTGTTGATAGCAGGCAGTCTGCTACTGACATTTTAGCTGAATGCTAATTTTGCTGGTCCACATTCATCTTTCTACATGAGACTGCTATAGTTTTTATATTCTTTTTATTTATTGCTTCAGCTCAGCTTTATGCCACCTTCCTGCTGAAATAGTTTATTGGAAATGAAGGTGGATTACAGTTAATTTGGTGTTTTGTTGTGTTTTGATTTGTGGGGTTTTTTTAATTTCTGCTTTTCTCAGCCACTTGAAATAGAAAAAGAAAGTGCCTTTTGCTTAAAAGGTTCTTATTTGGAGCCAGTAACAACATATAGATACTAAGATTTCCATTCTGTGATTGCTAAAAATGTTTCCTCAAGTGGTAAACTCTAATTCATATATTTGGCTACACTGATAATTAAGAATAGGAAACTGCTACCACCAGGGCTAAGTATTAACTTGGAATAATAAATGTATCCCAATAGATAGCTTTCAGAATTGCACTGAACACAGTAAAGAGCCCTTTTAAATCCTTTTGTGATAAAGGAACTTAATCACCACTGGAATCCTTGTTTTTAGAGTCTCTAGATTTGCAGCCCAATCACTGAATTTCTCCTAAGCCATATATACCTTGACAACACATCCCTAAAGTAATGTTTTGTTTTAATTAGAAAATAAGTTGCAATAACCAAAAGAGAAGAAATTCAACCTAAAAAAAAATTGTATCCAGAACTATTTAGAAAAATAAAATCCTGCAT